CCTATAGGTTGACCATAAACATCAGGATAAAAAAAAATCTGTCCATGATGAAACTGACAGATGAAGCCATCTTGACTAACGTAGTAAAATCCTAACTTATTTATGAATCGAAATGTAAAACCGCTCTCCTGCCTCCATGACATTGACAATAAAGGCAAAGGCCATTTTCAATTAGAACAATGATTAGAGAAGATACTAGAAATCAGGAAGACAGGTTAATCCTCCAAACTGTCTGCTGGTCTTCCTTTTAAGATGGATTTATTTATTTTAGAGAGAAAGAGGGTGGGGGGGGCAGAGGGAGAGAGAATCTCAAGCAGCCTCTCCGCTGAGCGTGGAGTCCGACGCTGATCTCATGACCTGACCAAAATCAAGAGTTGGATGTGTAACCGACTGAGACACCCAGGCGCCCCTATTGGTCTTCCCTTTAATTAATAAACCAGAGGGAACCATGTAAGTAAGCCCTGAAGGAAGTGACGCTGCTCCCACCGTGTCCTAGCGAGGGCTGCCCCGCTCACCTTCCTCAATCACCTACCCTACCTCCTTCATGCAGCTGAAATCCGTCCATTTCCCTCTAATTTTACTCCCGCCACCCGACACTGACCTCAACTCTCCCTCCCCATGTCCCCTTGGGACATCTTTCTAATCTGTTGTCCCAACTGCAGTCAGGATGACATTTTTTTTTTTTTAAAGATTTTATTTATTTATTTGACAGAGACAGAGAGAATGAGCATAAGCAGGGGGAGCATTGGGCAGAGGGAGAGGGAGAAGCAGGCTTCCCGCTGAGCAGGGAGCCCGATGCAGGACTCGATCCCAGGACCTTGGGATCATGACCTGAGCCAAAGGCAGATGCTTAACCGACTGAGCCACCCAGGCGCCCCAGGATGACATTTTTATTACACCCATAGGATAGTGTCATTTCCCTGCTTACAAGCCATCCCTAGTTTTTGCCTGTTAGATGAAGTCCAGAATCCTTCACATAACCTACCAGGCCCCTGCCTGCCTTTGCAGCTAGGTAACCACACGGGTGTGCGCCCCTTACTCAGGCATAACTATTAGCAGTGCCCCCTTGACAGTGTTTTGGTTTAGATGACATCGTACTTGGCCCCTCTTGTCACTGCCCAGGGCGGCTGCCTGGGACCCGGCCCAGCCCTCTCTGATCTACACTCTCATGCCCAATGGGCACTGTCTCCAAAATACTTGTCATACCTACATTTTAATTACTACGTGTGTGATTACTTTTAATGCCCACATTCCCACCACCCTCTGAAGTCCATGAAAACAAGAAGCCATCTGGCTGATTCACTCCTGACTCCACCCTGGGGCTCAGCATGGTTCTGGGGACCCAGGGAGGAGACAGCTTCTGAGGCGCTTACCAACTAACACCAGGGAGGGAGGGGTTGCAACAGAGCGGAAAGACAGCGTGCTTTGGCCAAAGTAAGCAGGGTATTTCCGATAAAAAGCATCTTAAAATTCTCTCAAAATGGACCATGGAGTGAAGAACAATCCGGTGGCAAATGAGGAAGAAGGTAAATATGGGGGGTCTTAACTATTTTATTTTATCTGTTTGGGGGACTCATCAGGAACGATTATACATCTAAATGTTTATTCAATGTCTTTAATACGAAGGTGCTTTGGCACAGAGAAATACCATTATTTGGGATTTGGGATGTGGAAGATGAACAAGAGGAAGGAGCCAGGGCTCCAAAGTTTCTTCTCCCTCCAGAGTGCTCTCCCTGGTGCCAGTGTCAATCTCGGGAGCATGGTCCAATGTGAACAATTAAATACTGCGCAACCTCAGAAAGCATGCTGAAGAAATAATGTGATCCTTTAATCTATCCATTCAACCAGTATTTACGGAGTTTCTGCTATGGGGCAGGCACTGGGGGAGACACTAGGAAAATGAGGAGGGACAAGACCACATTGCCCGTCTCCCTGCCGGGCCAGAAGGGAAAAGAGCAGAGTACCAATAGTTACAATAGAGGCAAACACAGGGTGCTGGGAGTGGGTGTGTGTGTGTGTGTGTGTGTGTGTGTGTGTGTGTGTGTGTGTGTGTG